CACAAAGAGTGGGAAGAAAAATAAATGGTGGAAAGAGGAGGGAGAAGGAGGAAAGAAGAAAAAAAAAAAGCCCCTTTATACAGTTAGCTGCAGCCGCCTGGGCTTGTCGCTGGCAGAAAGTAGGACACTCCTGCTGGGTTTTCTTCTCTGGAAAGGCTAAACTTGGCTGTGAGTGGGTGGAGGCAGCCTGCATGGAAATGCGTGTGTGTCTCCCCATCCCCTGCTCAGCAAGCTCCGCTGCCGTGGGGCCGGAGAGCTGCTGGCAGGAGCTGCGTGTCTGGCTGCTCGGCTGTATTTGCCCAGAAGGGTTTAAGCCCAGGCTTGCAAAGGTGATTACACGTTCAGCTTGCTGAGATGAGTAGGAATTAGAGCCTAAATATCTCTGCGGTTCGGGCTGCTGTGGAGTATCCGAGGTCTTTGGTCACTCATTGGGATTGGGGCTCATCGGGGTGGATGTGGGGTTGGTGGAAGGGGAGCTGGGAGGTTTTGGAGGAGGAAGAGGGTGCCTTGGTGTGTTTGCAGAGGTTGAGCAGCTCGTGGTCCATCTGTGTGTCTGAGTCAGGCGTGGGGATGTGGAGCAAGCGGTGGCTGCTGGACTTGGGGGTTAAATTGGAGTTGGGCGATTTAATGTGAAGTAGGTTAAAGGAGGTGGGAGAGCAGAGAAGCCACCGAGCCCTGGAGCATCTTTGGGTTGGGTGATGCTTGTGCTTCTGCACAGGGGGCTGTGGTCCGCTCTTGCCGTGCTCCTGGAGTTCCCCTGTGTCTCCGTTCCCCAAAGCAGGACTTTCCTGGTGCCCTGCGCCCAGGGATGCGGCTTCCCGGCCTGCCTCGTGGAAAGGCCCGGCGGGAGGGGAGCACAGGCGGCTCTGGTGCATGGGCAGGGGGTCACTGCCCCAGGGCTGTGACCCCGATCAGGGTCCCCAGGGCAATGGTCTGGCCAAAATGAGGCTGTAAAGTCCGAAAATGTGAATTGGAGTGGTATCTTTGGAGGGAAGAGCACGGCACTAGGGCAGGGGCTGGCAAGTCCCCGGGGCTGCAGCCCTGCCTGCGGTTTGCTGTGGAGGTGGGGTGTCACTTACTCCTCCTAGTCCTTATTTTCCATTTTTGTGGAGAATAAACGCAGCTTTTCATACCCTCCAAATCCCTTGGATCTGCTTCAAAGGATATTTTCCTGCTGCTACTAATCCTGCAGTGGTCAACAAACAGGGTTGCCTTGTCTGATTTCTTTGAGCTGCAGGAGGGGGGGTTATTAGTCTTCTCCTGCTTCTCTCCTGACCTTTGGGGTAAATCAGGATTGGGAGGGACTTTGTGCAGCCACGTGTTTTATCCTCCCACGTGTTGCTGTTATGGTCCTTCTGCCAAGCCCTCGCTTGCGGTCCAAGCCCATCTTGGGAAGGTTTCCAACGATGCCCAAATCTGGCTGCAGGTGGAGTGTCCTCTTCTGTAGCCAAGATGTGGCTGTCCGTGTCCATCCTGTGCGTCGTGGTGGCCTTCGCCAATGCTCGCAGCGTTCCTTACTACCCTCCCCTCTCCAATGAGTTGGTCAACCACATAAACAAACTCAACACCACCTGGAAGGTGAGTACTGGGTTGCTTTTTGGGGTTTTGGGTGGGTTTTTTTGGGTGCGTTGTTTGACAGTCTTTGTGGGAGTTAAAAGCTGAGCTCTGGGAGTCTCACCACTGTGGTTGTATCAAACCAGCCTTGGTCCCAGTTGACTTCTCCAATGAATTGATGCCATCAGGGATTCCTGTGGTGACGGTAACTCTGCAGCTTCTCTTTGTAGCAGAGCACTGATGAATTCATAGACTAGGAGCAATGCTGAGAGGAGATTCTGTGGGAGGCTGGAAACAAGCAGCAAGTATCAAGCTGTATCGGTGACCCGGCCGAACCCACCTTGGCCAGGCTGCTGTGGCCAAAGCCTAGAATTGGACCTTAGCTTACTGGTCATGATGCGCTCATCCTAGAAGGAGCTGTGTTGTTCTGTGTCCATATGTAGTTTGGCTTTTGGCCCCTGGGTTTTAAAACAAGCGTTAGACACCAGTTGGGTCTGAGGGAGATCTGGAGCACCAGGCTGGTCCCAGCAATGCACTTGATGGCTATGGAGAGTCATGTCCCATTTCTCTGTGTCTTTTCCCAGGCAGGGCACAACTTCCACAACACTGACATGAGCTATGTGAAGAAGCTCTGCGGCACCTTCCTGGGTGGGCCCAAGCTCCCTGAGAGGTGAGAAGATGATGAGGGCTCTGTAAAAGCTTGTGTGGGTGCTTCTGGTGTGTCTGGAGTGGGTGAGGGGTTCCCTGGGTGCAGCTTACTGGACATCTTGCGTGGAGTTAAGCACAGGACCATGCATGGGCAGAACATCCATCTTCTGTCCTGCCAGATACTTGAGCAATCATGTAGCTTGTACTCCTTGAAACTCAAAACACTGGAGGAGCTGCCGACGTGGTCGGATGACTTCAGAAGTATTTATTCTCCTTCAGTAAGCAAAGAACAAGAGCACTCTTCCTCCAGGTCACCTTCAGAGGAGGTTGGGGAGTCCTGTTAAACTTGTGTTCCGATACAGGACTTCCCTCTTTTCACTTGCAGGGTAGATTTTGCTGCAGACATGGAGCTGCCTGATAACTTTGACTCACGGACGCAGTGGCCTAACTGTCCTACCATCAACGAGATAAGAGACCAGGGCTCTTGTGGCTCTTGCTGGGTAAGAGCGTTGGTGGTTTAAGGTCGTGTTGATACAGAGTTTGCCGGACAAAAAACATGCTGTTGAGTTTGCTACTTAACTGCATAAATGGGGGGACACGGGGGATCCTGGGCTTCTCAGTGGGCTTCTCCCAGCCAGGCTCACGTTTGCTGCACTCATTCCAGAAAGTTGCCTGTTTTTTTCTCCCTTGGCCAGCTCTAATGGTCTTCCTATGGGTTTCTGGGGCTGCCCACAGGCTTTCGGTGCTGTAGAAGCAATTTCGGACAGAATCTGCGTACACACGAATGCCAAGGTGAGCGTGGAGGTCTCGGCGGAAGACTTGCTGTCGTGCTGCGGCTTCGAGTGCGGCATGGGGTGAGCTGCTCTTGGTTCTTGTGCACTTAAAAGGTGGATGGGAAGGGCAGGGACACAACCCGAAGATGCTCGTTGTTTCAGCCCTGTCTCCCTAATGAGCAGGAAGCCCCACCAGTGGTTTGTGCTGTAGATGCTGGAGTTAGGTAGGAACATGAAGGTGACTTCATGGACTGAAAGTCCCTTGGGGCCACATCCTGCCTCCACCTGGGTGACGATGGATGGCGTAGGGAGGGCAAGCACATAGCGATGCTTCCCATACAGAGTTGGCAGCTGCCTAAGCCAAAGGCAGGATCTTTTAATAGCCCCAGAGCGTTGGATTTCAGGCACCAGCTTTTTTCCCTGTGGCTTTTGCAGTTGTTGAGAGCAGAGTGGGGAGGTGGGTCTCCAAGTTGCGTGACTTCTGCTGCTCCTGGCAGCAGAGGCTGACCAGGGACCTGGCAGGGAGGCACCGCTGCTTTGGGATTTGGAGGCATGGGTGCTCTTAGCTCCTTCTTGCCCTGAGGCTTTGGTGTCTCGAGGCCTAGAAATCCTGGGGAAGGCGGGGACAGACTTTAAAAGGTTCAATGTGCTGAAAGGTTCCCTTCAGCCATCCCAGGCTGGCTCCATTTCCCCCACCTCCCCAAAAAGAGGATGGCTCTGAGCAGGCTGTAGCTGGAACTGCTGCCTCTTTCTCCAGGTGCAATGGTGGTTACCCCTCTGGCGCGTGGAGGTACTGGACAGAGAGGGGCCTCGTGTCTGGGGGTCTCTACGATTCCCATGTGGGTAAGTCCTGGCAGATACCCTTGTGAAAGCAAAGAGAGCACCTCTGCTCTGGTTACAGGTTCATGTCCTGCAGGGTGCTTCTCTTCTGGTCTGCTCCCTCCTTTGGGGCTGGGCTCAAACACCTCTGCTGTCCCAGGTGGCTGCTCCTGTCCCCATGGCTCCTTCTGGTCACCCCTTTTGGACAAGGGTCCCTGAGCAGCAGATAGTGGCAGGAGACCCATCCAGGAAGGGATTACAGTAGCCAGACTTAGTAAACCCACACGACTGCTGCTTCCATAGCAGTAATGGATCAGGCTGTGCATTTTTTGGTTCTGCTGGTTTTGGAGCAGCTCAATACACTTTGGATGAGGGCAGGAGTCTTCCTGATGTGTTTCCCCCTCAAAAAAACAACTTCCAGACTGGAAACCTCTGCCTCCTCCTAGCATGGCCATGAGCTGGTTCATGTTTCCATCGCCTTGTCAAGAGGGAGGTGGTGGGAAGCAGGTCCAGCGGGGAAGCCCACTGCTGATGCAGGGATTGCTCCTCTGGAAGTGGCTCGCACCCCACTGACCTGTGGGGTTTCTGAGTCGGAAAGGTCAGACTCTTTCTTGGGGCATCTGTTGCCTTCTCCAGCATGGCTGTTGGACAAGGGTGCTTGGGGATAGCCAGTTCATGCCTCCTCTGTCCTCGACAGGCTGCCGTCCCTACTCCATCCCACCCTGTGAGCACCACGTCAACGGCTCCCGGCCACCGTGCACCGGGGAGGGGGGGGAAACCCCCAGGTGCAGCCGGCACTGCGAACCCGGCTACTCGCCCTCGTACAAGGAGGACAAGCACTACGGTAAGGGAGGTGGCCTCCAACGCTGCTCGATACACAGCAACTCCAGAGCTGCTCCTCGTGGTAGTTTGGTGGGGTTGGCAGGGTTGGACCTCTTCCTAAGCTGTTTTATGGTGGTTATTTTCTGTGCCCTCGGGGTGGGTGGTCCTGGAGCAAACATTAACCTGGCAGATGCACAGTTTGTATTTGCTGAGACTCAACTGAGATGTGGGGACTGATCTGAGTCCTTGTGGTGACCTGCCTGGGTTGAAGAGCATGATGCTGAGCCCTGTGGGAATCTGGTGTCAAAGTCACCTCCTTCCTACTCGGTGGTGGCAGCCAGCACCGTACATGTAGGAGAGTCTTCTTGGAGATTTGTTTTAGTCTTGAGTAATTTGGTTTGGAAATAAGGATGTACAAGGGAAAACCTTCCTGGTGTTTGGGTACAGAATAGGATATGGGTTAAATCATTCCCTCAGGAAGAGGCATGGTTGGAGCCCGCTTTCCCTGCCTGGTTGTGTCAGTGCTTCTGGAGCAGCTAGGTTTGAATTTAACCTTTAAGTGGAGAAGGCTTCTTGCACAAGCATGCCAAGCAGTCACTGTTCATCTCTCCCGAGACCTGTGTGGCCTGACAATGCTGTACTAATGGTGGGCCTTTTTCCCCTAGGCATCACATCCTACGGTGTGCCTCACAGCGAGAAGGAAATCATGGCTGAGATCTACAAGAACGGCCCAGTGGAAGGAGCCTTTATTGTCTACGAGGACTTCCTGATGTACAAGTCTGGTGAGCGTCAGCACCAAGGCTGTAGGGAGCCTGTTCCCTACTTCATCCATAGGGTCTGTCTTGTGTGGCCCTTATCCCCCTACTCAAGCCTGAAAGGAGATCTCAAGCTCACACTTGAGTAACTGGTGTTGCCAGAACATGGGGAGATACCATGTCCTGCATCCATTGGGGTTTGTAGCAAGGGGAACAGGTCCTTGGGATTGGCTCGGGGGGAAGCCCCAATGGGGGACCCCCCAGAATTGCAACTGAGAACAACAGCCAGGATTTTAGGTAAAACCCTGGCAGATGGCTCTGCAGGTGTGGCCCCAGTTCCTGGTTCTGAACTGCTTGGGATGTGCCACCTTGAGGACCCTTGCCAAGTGTTCTGTGTGCTGAGCTGACACTTAGCCTTGGTCTTTCCCCCAGACTCTAAGCTAAGCTTCAGGTTTGCATTTAACCAAAAGCACCGCCTCAGCTGGCCTCTGGGCTTTGATACGGGATGTCTCCTGAGCTGGCAGTGGTCTGAAGCAGGGGGAGATGCCGTGTTCCTTGACATGTTGGCGTGTTGCCTTGCCAGGGGTCTACCAGCACGTGTCCGGCGAGCAGGTTGGAGGCCACGCGATCCGGATCCTGGGCTGGGGGGTGGACAACGGCACGCCGTACTGGCTGGCCGCCAACTCCTGGAACACCGACTGGGGGGACAATGGTGAGTGACACCCCCAAATG